CTCTACGCAAGGACCTGGACCACCTCATGATACTTGTGAGCTTCCCTTTACATTTATCACATAAGTGCATACATATAGAATTCTTCATCATTGAAAATCTCTGTAAAGCCAGGAAATGACTTGCATCATCACATATTGCTCCTAAAATTGAATTTGTTATTTTAATAGGTAATAGCATTGTCACTCAACAGCATTTTTGAACTCTTGTAATTAATGCTGAAGAATGGTGTTTTTTTTGTTGTTGTTGTTGTTTCAGATTGGAGAGTTTTACAGTAAAGATCCATTTGAACTTGAGCTGGCCCTGGAGTTCTGGTGTCCATCAGAGTCTCTTCAACACACTTCACTCACCGGATCTTTTCTTGGAGTACCTCTCCAAAGACCCCCTCACAAACAGGTGTGAGAAGAAACCTAATTTTTGCTAAATCTTACTACTGCTCATCCTATAATATAAACTTCCTAAAAATATTTAAGGGTGATGTGAAATAGTAATTAACTATGTGGGTTGGTAAATGAAACATTACTGGTATTAAACTCCACAGTGTATTATTCATCACCACTGCTTTGAATAAAGTTCAAATTCCAGTATATATTTGTGTGTTACCTCAGGTGGTTCTCTCCAAGTTTGTGCGTCAGATGGGGGATCTGCTCCCTGCTACTCTCTACATCCCTTACTTGCGCATGCTGAAAGGGCTTGCTAATGGTCATCAGTGTTCCCACTACTGCTTTAGTCTGCTTAAAACCAATGGAGCTCCACACGGTAACTGCACCCTCAGATCTTAAAAGAGAATGGTGTAATATGAGTGCTGTGGTAAGAGTCATGTGCACTACCATATAAGTTTGTTTATATGGCTGTTTAGGAGAGAACCGGCAGGCTGTAGTGTCGGGCAGTGTTGTGTCATGGGAGCACTTTTTCCATTCTCTCATGCTCTACCATGAGAACCTGCGACGAGATGTGCCCAGTGCCGACAGCATGCAGTACCGCCACCCACCCATCAGAGGCATCACTCAGAGAGAGCTAGAAGGCCTCACAGCGTTCCTCCAGCTGCTCACCACTATCATCACCTGGGTATAGAACACATACATCACAATATAATGTAAACGAATCAGCTCATGGGAAATATGAATAATTAATCATAACTAGT